ACACAGAGTGCAAATTATAGTCTGCCTGCAGGTTGGGGCTGTAGCTTGGGTGATGGAGCAATAGGCCAGCAGCTAACATGGAAATTACTCCGGGCAGGATTCCTAAGGGCTGTGGGAGGCAGAGCCTGCCGACTGTCAGTTAGCAGCCTAGAGCAGGATGGAGTGGAGGAGGGCAGCTGGTCACTTATTCTTGTCTAGACTTCCCTGCCTACAGAGGGGCTTGGTATCTACAGGCTCACTATGGTTTGGAGTCTCACTGAAGCCTTGACACAGGGTGGCAGTTAGAACCTGGGTCTTCTGAATCCAGTTGGGACATCTTGGTGCCACAACTTGCTGGGGTCATGGCTGGCCAGCCACCGGCCCCACCAGAGGACCCAGTTGTCAGGCATTCCCGGGCATGCTGTGGCTCTCATGGCAAAATCTGCAACACTCAGACCTCTGTGGTACCTTAAGGATATTAATAGGACTATCAATGATAATAACTATCAATACGAACTTCTTATACTGAGCAATGCCAAGCTTAGGTTTTTGTCATCTTCTTTAATTCTCACAGCAATTCTCAGCTGCACTGTTGGTAGCTGCCTTCAACACCACTCGGCTCATGGTGACCCTACCCCATGGAATGAGACACTGCCCGATCCTGTGCCATCCCTTGGACCAATTGCCTATCAAATGGTCGTGATCCATTGAGTTTCTACTGGCTGATTTTTAGAAGATTGTCAGGCCTTACTTTGAAGTCCAACAGAGTCTGGGAGGTCCTGGGAAATCTGTGCAGTACGACAGCAACATGTGAGCCTCCGTGTACAGATAACTGATGGCAGCACATGAGGTGCATCAACAAAGACGAATCCGGGTCTCCTGCAGGCGGTGAGAATTCTACCGCTGAACCACGGAGACCTCATGTGTGCAGAAACGGAAGCTCTGAGAGGGGAGATGACTTGACAAAGTCAGAACTGGGGCCCAAGTCTAGGTCATCCCAGGGTTCCTTTCTATGATCAGCCCTGCCTCAATGACACCTCTCCAGGTGGCTTTGTCTAGGTCACTGAAAGGGATATCCAGAGTCCAGTTCTTGACTCCCAGGACAATAATCATGGTAATAAGCAAAACCCTTCCTTTTATTGATACCTCATCTAGGGGAACACAGAGCAATTTCACATCCCTCATCCTATTTGGCCGACACAACATTTCTCCGGTGTTTCTGACATGATTGACTCCATCCTAGGTTGGGTCTTGTCCAGAGCCAGAGTCAATGCCATGGCAAAGTCAAGACCCACCCACGAATCTCATAGCTGGGGTTCAGTACCCTTCTCCAAATGCTTCTCTGCTCGCTATCTTCTCAATCAAATGCAAAGCTAACACTGGGTCGCATTCTGCTGAGTAAAGGTCTAGCTTTGTCTTGGAGCTAGACCTGTAGGCAGACAGCAGCCACCACAGATGCTGAGGACAGGCTGAGTTCACACCACACATGGAGGCACCTGCCCTTACGGGCCAAGTGAATAGGCTACGGTGTCTGATACACGTGGGTGTAAATCTCAAGTCTTATCTGGCTGCCTAAACTTGGGTAGATTAACCTGTTTCTCCCACGTGTAATAATAGGACCTACATCATAGAGTTGAGATGAGGGTCAAAAAGTTAATATTATGTGAAGTGTTTCACTTGTGCCTGTTCACAGTAAACCGCTAATTATTATTTGTCTTTAGCATGATGGATTGACTGATTCATTTTTTCAAAAATAAGTGTCTTCCTTCCACATGAAAGGCCTGTGCTGGTAAATTAGTCTGGCCCTTCTAGTTATCATCTTTTCAGCTCCCACCGAATGACTGGCTGGTCCTTAGGTGCTCATGAGTCGGTTCTGACTCATAGTGGTCAACTGTACATCAGAACAGGGATGCACCCGGTCCTGTGCATCCCCACAATTGTTATGTTTGAGCACCATCTTTGAGCCATGGTGCTAATCCATCTTGTTGGGGGTCCTCCTCATTTTTGCCGTCCTGGGACTACGCAAATGTGAGGTGCTGGTTACCCACCAAAGGATTGGCTACATTGCTAAGAATTTAAGCAAGGGGAATGGTACCCTTGTGGGGTGGGACCATGCAAATAAGGTGTATACAACCCTAATGGGGGGATGGGTCAATTGTGCCATCCCACTAGGTTGAAAATGAGCCATCCAAGAAGTGGCCCAGAAAGGCCCTCCCTCCCTTCAAGAAAGAAAAGGCAGAAGTGGTGTGTGACCTGAGATCCCCGTGCTGAACCTCCTCGATCCGAGCGCCAAAGATCTGTGACACCGAAAACGGCAAGAGACAGAAAGACAGAGGGGCAGCAGAGCCAGCAGAGCACAAACTAGAGTGGTGGGCCTCTTAGTTCAAGGACCGAGAAAGCCTTTGAGCAGGAGGCTTATTGGCACACTGGGTTGCCTCCAGGCACTTAGCTGGAGGGTAAGGACGAGTTACATACGTTTGCTAACCCATGGAGTTAGAGTTGAGCACTTTCCGGGCTGAGACTTCCTGGCAGAATGGAGCCCCTTTGAGCATTGCTCAGCTGAGCTAAAAGAGCTTTGCAACACACGCTCAAACAGAACAGAGGCCAGGCCAAGGAACCATGGGGTTGAGAAGCTAAAAGAGCTTGGTAATACTTGTCCAAGGAGGGTGAAGAGGCTGAAAGGCCAGGCCAGGAAAAGGTGTGCCTGCAGGCTTAGCAAAGAAGCAGCTAGCCTGATGGAAGAAATGTATCCTGAGTACTATTCCTGATCCTGAATAGTAACCTACCTGGGTAACCTTCTTAATAGACCCCATGTGTGAAGTATTGTGTGTTAGTACTGTGCGAGCATTGCAACGAATTATGGAACTCGGTAGAAAAGTAGAGAGTGTCGTGGAAGAAAGGGCTGGTGTTAGAACTGGTTGGGGCATGTCGGACCCCTGCCTCATAGGAATCAGTCTGCAGCAACTGGTGCTGTTTGAGTCTTCCTTCTCCCTGTGCTACTAGAGGAGTGTAGATGCTGCCTGCATGCCATTTTCACAGCTGAGTTCTAAAATGAAGATATGAGCCATGCACAGCCTGTACCAACACGGGGAAGACCCCTGGAGGTGTGGTGGGCCGCTGAGCAAGAGGTGGGCCATTCAAACCTACCGGTTGCTCCACAGGAGAACGATGAGCCATTCTGCTTCTGCACGATGGCAGCCTCGGGAACCCTGTGGAGCAATTCTGTTGTATCCTCTGGGGTCACTACGAGTCAGTTGACTCAGCGACACTGAATTGACTGTCACAGAATTCAGGGCAGGGATGGGGACAGACAGAAAGAGACAGTTCTGGTGAGGTGATTCAGAGAGGTCTTGATCACCATGCTGTGGGGCCCAGAGGTCAGAGAACAGACATGGATTCCTTTTTCCAACCTGCCTGTGTGTTCAGCCTCGCTTCTGTCAGATTCCAGTGCTGCACCGTCCCATTGTGGTTGTTCGCAGTCTTCCTGGTCCCTGCTGACTTGGGGAGAGGTCCTGAGAAGTGCCTGGGCAGCCATGAAGCCTTGAAGCCATCTTTTTTTGACTTATTTATTTTTAGCTCTCTTGCCTATCACAAGGAGCCCCGGTGGCATAGTGGTTAAACAGTGGACTGCTAACCGCAAGGTCAGAGGTTTAAAAGCACTGGAGATAGATGAGGCTTTCTACTCCCACAAAAAGTTGTCATCTCAGAAATCCACAGAGTCAGTTCTACTCTGTCCTACAGGGCTACTAAGAGTCAGTATTGACTCGATGGAAGTGAGTTTGGCTTTTGGTTGCCTATCACAAACAGCCTGAGTGGCACAATGGATTAATTGGTGTTGGCTGCTAACTGTGAGGTCAACGGTTCAAACCTACCAGCCACTCCATGGGAAAAAGATGAGTCTGTCTGTTTCCATACAAAATTTACTGTCTTTGAAACCCTAGGGAGTTCTACTCTGTCCTATGGGATCATGATGAGTCAGAATCGACTCAATGGTAGTAACTGACTGCCTATCGCAGGAAACCTTGATACTCGTGAATATTTACAATAAGATCATTTGAAAAGTATATCCTCATATAAAACAACAGAAAAAAAATCAAATGTAGAGGGCCACCTCCATTTTATTCACCAGTGGAGAAGCTGGGCCCAGAGAGGGTCCACAATGACTCACCATCTGACTTCAGAGAGGAGATGTCGAACCAGAAGAACAGAGCGTCCCAACCACACTCATGGCTAGTTCTGCTGCCTCGTTAAAAAGAATCATCTTCCCACTTACGAAAAAAACTAACCCACAAAACAAAAAATTGGAATCACAGTGACATTCCTCTCCAGATAACATCTGGATTGAACCCATTACGGTGCATATGCATGCACTTTCCACCTGCATCATCTCATTTGCACCTCCCAAGCGTGGTGCGTGGAAAAGGGTGGCTATAGTTAACCCGTCACTCATGAGGACTCCAAGGCGTCACGGTCGGGCAAGCAAAGAGCTTTGAACTCCAAATGAAACATTCCCCCTCCTGTCCTGTAGCCCTGAACAGTGACGTGTGCCTCGTAGGAGTGGGACATGCTAATATATGTCCCTTGTGAGAAAGGACTTGGTGACTGATTTTCCACCTGTGGGGTCTGCTGAGAGCCTTCTTGGCCCCACCAAGGACTTCTCCGAGTCAGCTCCCGAGAAAATACTTCCTGAGGGAAGTATGGCATCATCACATCCTAAGCCTGGTCATCGGGGAGGGTTAATGCTGGAAAGAATCGTCAGCGTGAATGAGCTGTGCGTGTGCCCTTCCGACAGCCCCCTTTCTCCCCGAACTGGTCTTGCATAAGCAAGATGACCTTCCATTGGGTGACAAGCCTGTCGTAAATGAAACGTTTACAGGCACTACAGGAATGACCTAGTGCCTCGCCCACCTCATTAGAATTCTAATTGGGGTGTGTAGGAGAGGCTTCTATAAATGGCAAGGCAAACCCCGGCAGCCCTTCTCCCCACACACTGTCTGTGCTATCCCCAGCCGAGCTCGGAAAAGCAGCAGAGGAAGGCGCAACATGGCTGGTGAGTGCAAGGCATCTTCTGAAGGCTGGACCTTGGCCGGCAGCCCTGCTTCCCGGGACAGCTTCCCTGAGGGCCCTGGGTTTCAGGGCTCTATTCCGAGGTGGTTTTGTTCTGTGTTATTTTTCCCTCAGTGGCTACCCACTTTCTCTAGCACATTCCCAGGGGTGGGCCGTTTTGGAATGTCACCCTGAGTAATGGGCTAGGATGTTTGATGCACTGAGAGGTCACATCCCTTGAAATAGACAGACAAGCCTGGCCCTGTTGGTGTTTGTTTGTTTTTAATCCTCTGGTTGTTAACCAGAGGAGTCCTGCCAGCTGGTACCAGCTTCGCGTGCTTCTCATTGTCACCTTGGCCAGCTGTCAGTAATGCCGGCGAAGAAAAGCACATCTCAGAGCTACCAGGGAGGGCAGGGCAGAGGGAGAGTGGCGGCTTGTCAGTAGCTTCCGAAGAAACCGTCGGCACCACAGGAATGCTCCAGTGTAAACTGCACTTCCGGAAGGAAGCTCCAGCAGGCACATTGGAAAGTGACTTCAGAACTGAAACCTCCTGGTAGCAGGAGGCACAGGTGTGCCCCAAGACTGACTGTCATGGTCCCTGCCGGCAGTGCCAGCGTCGCGGGATGAAAAGAACAAGAAACGCAGGTTCTCCAGCTCTGCGGTGACTGTCGAGGATTTGGCTGTTAGACAGCGCCCCCACTAAGCAGTGTGCTAATAACCACCTGTCATAGAAGTGCAGCCCCAGTAGGTCGACAGGGACGCCAAACTCAAACACCGCACGAGTCAGAGCGGGAGGTATTGTGACTAGCCATCTGGATGGCGGGAGCTTGTAAAGAAACCACAGGGCAAGATGCACAAGACGAGGGTGGGCTACTTTGGAAATCGCCGAGGGGTTGGAACAAGGCCCTGCACAAAAGCGACCCCATTTGCCTGTCGTGCCTTTTCTTCCTAAAAAAAAAAAAAAATGTATATCCAGGCAGGGTTGCTACAGGGAGGTACTGTGGAGTGTGTAGACCTCAGCAAGAAGGAATGGGCACTGTCCGCTAGGGGACCCCTAGTCCCACTTCCCCAGGGAGAGGCCGAAGCCTTTTTACCAAGGCCACCCAGCTCTTCAGATGGGGGCCGGGTCCAGACCAGGTCCGAGCGGTGTCCCCTCCATTGTGCCCTGCTACCTGAGCTGAGGTCATGCCAGAATGCATATGACACCTGCGACAAAGCTCGCTTCCCAGTGGAATTGTTACCAGCTGCGTAGACAAGCCACGACCACAGCCTCAGATGCCCTTTTGCAGAGTGAAAGCCCACTGCCATCCATCCATTCCGGCACAGACTGGAACCGCCCCGTGGGTTTCTGAGACTCTAAATCTTTATGGCAGTAGAAAGCCTCATCTTTCTCCCGCTGTGTGGCTGGTGGTTTCAAACTGCTGACCTTGTGGTTCGCAGCCCTATGTCTAGCCAACTATGCCACCAGGGCTCTAATTTGTAAAGTGAACGGCTTAAAAATGGATGGGCTTTCAGACTCCTTCCAGGTACATGCCCCCAATTGTGCTCATCCCAACAATGAGTGACTCTGGGGAGTGCGTGCCCACCTCGTTCTACAGGGCCCACATATGTGGTCTGTCCATGGTGACATCTGCTTGCATGAGGGGGTCGTAGAAGGCCTTGAAGGCCTGCGATTCAAGAGCCTGTGAAACAGGAAATGATCTGCGATCACTAAAGATGAGGACAGGGGTTGATTGGGAGAAAATCCGTTTTTTTAAAGGAGCCGGGATGAAGAGACCGGCCAACACATTCATTCCTTAGCATTTGACAGACATGCAGCTCAAGCTAAATGCCTCGTCATATAGCCGGCAAGTGCTCGGTCTGTGTTTCTTGATGGAATGGACTTTGCCTAAGGGGCCTCTAAGCAAAGGGGCCATGCCAGGGGCAGTAGGGAACATGGAGACCCACAGGGGACCAGCTCTCCTTCTGTGAGCGAAGGGGCCATGCCAGGGGCAGTAGGGAACATGGAGCCACGGGGGTGGGGACCAGCTCTCCTTCTGTGAGCTTGCCACCTGGTGGTGCTTGACAGCACCAGGTTACACTGGACTGTGACGAGGCTGTGTGGCACACACACAAACCCAGTGCTGTGGAAACCAGGAGGAGGAAGTGATCATCTTAGCTGAGGGCTGAACAGGGCAGACCCGGGAGATGCAGGTGGCACTGGGGCTGAACAGGGAAGATGTGATGTCGGAGGCATTTGGCCATGGAAGTTGGGTTGAACCTGGTCCGAAGGCGTCTCATGGGGGTTGAGAACAGATCTGGCAGAAGGCACAAGATAATAAGTGTAGGTGAGCCGGGAGGTGTGCCCCAGGGAGCTCTCAGAAGCACTGTACTGTGAGCTTACATCTGGTTTGAGATGCCTTTGTCCTCTGGTTCTTGTTGGATCCAGCTGCGGTTCAGTTACTCTCCTCCCTTGGTGGACTGGATGGCCTGTTTGTGGATTGAATGGTAGTAGTGGTCTGAGCCAAGTGACCAGGCACCCCCCCTGCCTTCTGCCATGGAGCCTGGACACTCATAGCTCATCTCTGTGGACTGGAGTGTTGACTGTGAAGACAGAGGGTGAGCCTCAAGTGGAGGGATAGCCTCGTCCTCACCTCCAGAGCCATTCCGAGTCCCTGGGTTCAGGGCAAAGTCTTTAGGCAGAGCCCCCCACTGGAGAGATGCTGCTAATCTGGGAGAGGAATAGCTCTTCCCAGCAGGGGCTGTGAGCTTTCTTGCCAACTGCTTTCTCATAACAGAACTGGCCTGAGCTTCAGGACCTTACCTTCTGTGGGTCTTATTTTCCCCATTCCCTAGAGCAGTGGTTCTCAACCTTTCTAATGCTGAGACCCTTTAATACAGTTCCTCATGTTGTGGTGACCCCCAAGCCTTAAAATTATTTTCATTGCTACTTCATCACTGTAATTTTGCTACTGTTATGAATCGGTGACCCCTTTGAAAGGGTTGTTCAACCCCCAAAGGGGTCGTAACCCACAGGTTGAGAACCGCTGGCAGTGTTACTTTCTGGGCCTATGGGTTTGTCACACTCCCCCTTCTCCCTGGATCCAGAGCTCTTTCTGTCGTGGAAGCAGTCCGAATTCCTTTGGGGTTCCTGCCTTTTCTCTCTATAAGTCTTCGAGGCGCTTCCTGGGCTCTCTGTGGGGCCTTGTTCCAGTCATCTGGGCCAGAGAGTCACCAACGCTCTCTCAGAAAAGCAGATGGACCCCTGGGGAAGAGGCTGTGGCTGCCAACGTTGTTCCATGTTTGAGATGAGGAGACACTCTCTTCCCCAGCTTGCCCCGGACAGACGTTGTCCCCTATCCATCAGAGACAGATCGGCCAGCAGCCTTCCCCGACCTGGAACAAGGACGGCCGTGTTCAAACCTTTGCCACGATTGGATCATGGGCAGAAGTAGGGTCTGAGAAGGGGTAGGAGGGTAAGTCCAGAGCCCCACACTCTCTGGATGGCATCTCAGCTCTGCTCCTCGCTGCCCGAGTGATCACGGGCAGGTTACTTAACCCGTGTGTCTGTTTCCTCACCTCGAACAAGGAATCACTGGCGGTATTCACCTCATAAACCAAACCAGATGTCACGGAGGTGACGCTGACTCATGGAAGCCCCATGCGTGTCAGAGGCAAGCTGCATCCCACGGGGTTTCCCATGGCTGGGGTTTCAGTGGCGGATTCTGAGCGTTGTTCGAGCCCCCGGGGCACCTTTGGGTGGACTCCAACCTTCAGTTAGCGTGTCCACGGTTGGCACCTCCCTGGGACTCCATTCACCTCATACGTACTCAGTAAACGCTAGCCAACCAAACAGTGGCCCTCAAGTCCCTTCCAGCCTGTGACCACCCTGTGTGTCACAGAGTAGAATGGTGCTCCACATGGATGTGACCTTCCTGAAGCAGAACCCCAGGCCTGTCTTCTGAGGTGCCCCTCAGTGGGCTGGGTGAGTAGCACACCCTCTAGGGACCCCCTCTGGAAACCTAACTCATGATGACTTGGCAACGTCCTTCATGAATCTGGTTTCCTCCGTGCCACTGAGGGCTGAAGAACCCGGCCAGACGCAGTGCATTTCTCATCAGAAAGCTTCTCAGGGCAGCCTGTCCACTTGCGAGGAGCCTCCCCAGCATGAGCGCTGTCGCTGTGTCCACCCCACGGGTACATTCCAAGGCCTCAATTTCTGTGTCCACGGGCCCAGTGCTGCCTGCCCAAACGGGGCTCTTGTCCAAAGCTGGGAGGCATCTTCCTCCGGAGGGTATAGCTAAGGTAGAAACATTTTTTCCCTCACTTAGGAGGGGAGGGAACGTGACACCAGGGGCTTTGGGAGGGGCTGACAGTTTGGGTGGGATCAAACTGCATTTCTTTCTCAGCATCAGCTTTTGCCCACTGTCCCTTGGATGTGAGGTGTGTTCAAGGACATGCAACTCTCAGTGCTGGCTGCCCATTAGAATCATCAAGAGACCGTTTAAAGAAAGGACAATGCTGTCCTTAGCCTGAGATGCTCCTTTCACTGGTGTGGGATGGGGTCCACGAGACTCTGTGGGCAGCTGGAGTTGACCGCCATGCCCCGACAGATCCTAAGCTCTCCCTCTGAAAGTGAACGGGGCTCAGGGGGGCTTCCTTCCTTCCTCCTCCTACCCTGGAAGTACAATATCTACTCATGGAGGGGGTTGTGGTGGCACTTTCTCTCTGGCAGCCCCAAAGAATTGTGTCCAAGCAGTTGCCACCACAACTGCTTTGGTTGGCTGCAGAATGACAGCTTAGAGTCACACACGGGGTCCATCTGGAGGTTGAGTCCCGGCTCTGCCTGAGTGAGTGAGTGACCATGAGACAGGGGCTTCATACAGCTTCCAAATTCCTCATCTAGAAAATGGGGCTGATACTATTTTCCTTATGGGGATTCTGTGATGATTGCAGGACGTCAGTGGCGCCCACAAAAACAGCCCTAGCTCGTCCCCACTCTCTGTTTGCGGGAGCCCGTGGTT